GGGTGTGGCCCCGGGGGGGGTCCGGGGTGGGGCATAAAACCCCATTTTTGGGGTTTAGCCCATGTGGTGCGCACTTTCGCTGCGCACCCCCCACTATTTTTTATTTTATTTATTTTTTTTTGCGGGGGGGTCTGGAGCCGGGGTTGGGGGTGCCCACCCCCGGAACCCCGGAACCCCGGAACCTCGCCGGGGCCCCGGGGCCGGGGCTCGACAACCCTGGTTGCCGTCTATCAAATCAGCGCGTAGGTTGACGTCATCGTTGATGGCGTGATCTTTGCGAAGCTTACCGATTCGTGCCGATGAAGGGAGGAGAGGAAAAAAAAGGGGGGGGGAGGGGAGGGGCTTCAAGTGAACGGGATCTACCACCTAGTTGGAATAGGCCAGTAGAGGCGGTACATGTCGGGGATCACCCGGGGATTACGGGGGGGGRGKGGGGGTAGGAAGCGATTTATCCCTTCCATCGTCACCTGGAGCTCCTCATATCGGATGATTCGGTGGAGGCGGGGGAAATGATCGCCACTGCAGGGGAGGGAGGCGAGGAAGTCGCGATAGAAGGAGGAGAGGGTACGGAAAAGCGCCGCTCGAAAGATCTCGAAGTGGCGGCAAGCGGGGATTGTCCCCGTGGCGATGCAGTAAACTTCTACCACGTTGCATTGCTCCCATGCGGCGCTGAACAGCAGGAGATGCCAACAGAATGTGGGAGCGGCGGACTGAAGGGAGGTGTGGGGGTGGACGGTGGTGAGTAGACGGGTAGAGTAAAAGTCGCGGAAGAGATGGGGATCGAAAGGATGGGAAGGGAAGGTGACGGGGGTACGGATCTGCTCGAGGGTGAGAAAATCAAGGGGTCGGCGGGGCAGCGTTCGAGGTCGAAGGCCTATCGACCGGATTGGTACGTGGGCGAACTTGGGGACGGGTGGGGCTGGAGGAGGAGGGGGATCGGCGCCATCTCCGTCGCGCAGTACTTGACGTGGCGGCTGTAGGGTCGCCATCTTCGGGCCTCGGTGGCTCTGGATCCCTGGTCGGATCGCTACCGATGCGCAGGCTAGCCTCGCTAGCGAACTCCAGCTGGCGCTTTCCCGAGGCAATCTTTTCGCGCTTTCACGCCGCTTCCGGATCTTCCGCCTCCGTTCCCGTACGCGTCGCTTCCTCCGGCGGGGCATCCCACTCGGACCCGGTTCCTTCTTCTTCCTCTTCACTCAGCTCGCCCTCGCTATGTTCACTATAGCTTCCCTCCTCCAATGTCTCCTCGTTGTCGTTTTCTTCTTCGTCGTCGTTGTCGTCAATCACCACTTCTTCTGCCCTCGGGTAGAAGGCGTAAGGGACGATCTCGTATGGCTTCAGATACTCCTGCCGCGATGGTAGCGTATCCTCGTCCCTAGGCTCCTCCAAGCACGAAGTCCACTGAAGGTACGGATCCAAGGCTCGCTCGAACATGTACGGAGCAGGACTGTTGTCGCTATGAAAGTAGATGTCGGGCGAGAGATCGTCCGCCAATTGCACGATCGGTGCGATGAGCTCCTGTGGAATCAACTGAGGGCGGCCCGGTCGTACCGATCCAAAGGGGAATCCAATAAAATCTCCTTCCGTGTTAGTCCTCCAACCCTGTATGATCAGCAGCTCCGGATTCTCGATCCACGTAAGGTGCTCGATAGTGCCCGTCCACTTCACTTATACTCGGGTCAGGCAGAAGGACAACTCCTCAAAAGTCTCGCGCCACAGCCGCCAATGTCTAGGATGGATAAGAGGGACCGAAAGAGGTTCGAACGAGAAGGAGAGAGAAAGGTGGAGATCGGATTGCCAGAAGGTGGGGAAGAGAGAGGGGAGAGCAAAGATAGAGAGAGGGGGGAGAAAATTGGCGTGGTTCATTGGGGATGGGGGAAGGGAACGAGGGTTGGGATCACAACTGGCCGCTCGTGCGGTTGTCGGCGAATGTCGTCAATGTCCGATGCAAAGATCGGGATGATGTTACACCCCTCCCCGGCGAGGACATGCTGCCACATGTTGGACACTTGCTCCGTCCACTCACGCAGCGAGGCCAAGATCGCGGTATGTCGCAGCGGATTAGCTGAGCTGATATCGCCTGTGAATGCCGCCACTGTGGTGACGTGGCTCGTTCTGGGACCCGCTCGCCGATGAACTGCAGTAACCTCCGCGCACACTATCGCGTAAGGGCTTCCTTCTATCTGAAACACGGCGGCGGCACAGATACCTTCGTCGCAGAAGAATCACATCAAACGGCGGAGATCCGTATTGAGTCGAGGGTGACAAACTTGCCGGATCTCTGAGATATGGCCACGTGACTGCCACAGCTGTGCGTCGAGAACCCGCTCCGTGATGAAACTCATGGCGAGGTCGGAGAGGAGGACGAGGGACAAGATGGAGAAAGAGGAGAGAGGGTTGGATCATCATCGTTTTCCTCGCTTTCCGAGGAAGAAGAGAGGAAAATCGGAAGGAGGAAGGAGACTAAGGTAGGAGGTATGTCTGACGATGGGGACGGAGCTATGGCTAGCGCTAGCCTCAGGCGCGATGCGCACCGTGTTGGCGCCGTTGGGCCCGAGTTCGACAACGCGAAAACAACCAGAGAACTTGGGAGCGAGTTTCCGATCGCGTGCACATTTACGTACCTGCACTAGGTCCCCCAATTTATACTGGTACTGGGGCCCAGCATTTCCATTCCGGGCCTCGTAGCTACGGACCTGTCTACCGTGGGCCAGCTCGGTCATCCTTTGTCTTTTTCGGGCTAGCTTCGGAACGGCTCGTTCCATCAAATCGGTGTACCGTCTGGCCTTGGCCTTGAGGGCCGCACGTGTGTCTCTGCCCCCTGCTTCGGCAATTTCCGAGTTACCCCGGTAATCGACACAGGGGAGGCTATTAGTTCGAAGCTGAAAGGGGGTAAACCCCGTAGACTCATGAGGGGTGGCCCGTTGGATCCCAACGATCTGATATACGATCTCGGGCTAAGGACGCGTGTCGTGTGCCGCTAAGTTCCTGCGAAGGGCGGTTTTAATCATACGGTTGGCATTTTCGGCAAACTCGTTCGACTGGGATACGTGGGGTGCCGTATGTCGGAGCGTGACGCCCCTTCGTGTAAGCAGTTCCTCTACCTCACCTTTGAATTCCGACCCATTGTCAGTTAGAATTTCTTCCGTATCTAGATGGGTATAGAGGAGTCGTTCGATGTATGTGGCTATTTCGGTGGCCTTTCGGGTCTTACAAGGATAGACTTCGATGTATTTGGAAAAATGGTCAATTAAAACTAACAGGATGGAATATTCACAGCAGTTTGGGCAAGGTGGTACGTCAATATCTGTCGTGTCCATACTGACTCGCTGGAAAGGACGCTCTACTTCCGTTGGCACGATCGTGTTTGGTCCCCGTATAGGGGCGCGATCAGCGGCACAGACCAGACAGTTAGCGACAATGTATTTGACATCATCTCATATATTGGACCAGAACCATTGATTCTGGTCTTCAGTTGCCTCCGTGACACGTATCGCGAAATGAGCGGCCTGTTCCTCATGAGCAGATCGTATCCAATCGTATCTCTGGAAGGGATGGGGAACTGTCAGCCACGAACCCGATCCGTCAGTATTGCGCTTTTCCAAATGACCGTTGATCCATCGATAGTCTCGAGATCTCTCGGTCGCCCTACGTCTGTCGTGTTTGGTGAGGTGGCCCAATGATAATCCCGCTAATTTCGCCAATAAAATTTTATCCGTCCAGACTTTCGCCCGTCGGTATTTTTTGTCGTATTCAGGACCGTCCGTACGGGCGGCCTCAAATCGAACCTCCGTCGGGAGTTTGTTCGTTCTACACAGGGGGCACCTTCATTCCTTGCTACTCATTTGATATCGAACGCAGGCTCCGTGCGCACGATTGACACACGTGGCACATTCCACCCAGTCAACAAATCCGGTCTCGAAGGGATGACAGTCGACCCCGTAAACCCATGCAATACAGGTGCAAAAATAGCAGAATTTATCGGGGAGGGTGTCGAAGAAAGTTGAGGAAGTAAGAGGGGCAGAATTAGTAGGAGAAGAAGGGGTTGTGGAGGCAAGTGGGGTAGTCATGGTGGCAGAGGAGGAGGGGATGCAGGGAGAGCAGAACAAAACAATTAGTCCTCGTGTCACTTACTGTTTCGATAAGATCTCCACTTGGCCGTACCGAGGTCCGATCTCCTGTTCGGGTTCATTCCATGGAATTACCTCCTCACTCTTTGGAACCTTCTCAGGCCGGTGCAGTCGTGTCAGTCCGTCCGCATTCCCGTGTCTCTCGTGCTTTCGATGACGAATGTCAAAGTCCATGCTCTGCAGCACCGTTGCCCATCGCCCGACCATGCCCGAGTAATCCTTTGACTTCTTAATAGGTAAGCACGGAAGTGACTGATTCCCCAAAGAGCCGCATAGCATTCACCCGTTGGAGCGGCGTAATTGCGCTTGCAGGCGGGCACTGATTTGGACGCATACTCCACTACACTCTCAAGTCCGCTCGGTCCCACTTGGGCAAGGATCATCGAAATCGCCTCTGGCTGTCAGTCGATGATGAGAACAAAAGGTTTTTCGGGATCCGGTCTTATAAGGACCGGAGCCGAAATGAGAGCAGCCTTGAGTTTGGAAAACGCTTGATCGCACTCCGACGTCCAGATCAACGGTTGATCCTGGCGCAGGAGATTTGTGAGGGGTCCCGTAATCGCCGCGAAGCCCTTGATAAATCTTCGGTTATACGAGGCTAGGCCCAGAAAAGCGCGAACTTGCGTGATAGTGGTAGGGATTGGCGCGACCCTGACAGTTGCCACCTTCTGCGGCTCCGGTTGGAGTCCCTTGTGTGTCACCATGTGCCCTAGGAAAGAAATTGTGGTGAGGAAAGACTTACACTTCTCAAGCGCCACTTTGAAACCTGCATCTCATAGCGCATGCAGTGCCCATTCGATGTGTTGCACGTGTCCCTCGTAGGAGCTCGAATACACCAAGATGTCATTCATGTACACAATCACGCAGTAGTTGATGATGCTCTGCGCCAGGCGAGTCTTCCGCACAAAATTCTAAAAAGTCATGTTCATGGCCCACTGAAAAGTCGCAGGGGCGTTGCAGATACCCACCGGGCATCGAATCCATTGCCACGTACCTTCGAAAAGCACAAACGCGGTTTTCGAACGATCTTCTTTTCGGACAAGAAGATGATGGAACCCATGACGAACATCAAACTTGCTGAAAAATCGAGCACTTCCAATCGCATCCAATAACTCATCAATCCAGGGGAGGGGATACACATCTTTAATCGTGATATTATTCAGCTTTCGATAATCAATGCAAATGTGAATCCCCCCTGCCTTCTTGGGTACTATCACTACAGCAAAAGACCATAGTCCTATAGCGGGTTCGATCCATCCCTTAGCTTCGAACTCCTTAATCCGCCGAAAGGCGGCCGATCGTTGCGCTGGCAAGTATCGGTAGGGAGCGCAGCTAATGGGCGGATGATCTCCCGTGAGAATGGCATGTTCAATTACATTAGTTAACCCAATATCATTGTCATGCATGCTCAACACTTCTGCGTAACCATTCAATACACAGATTAACGACTTCCGAAGTTCCGCGGGAACGTGACTCAGGAGGGGGATCGTCGATTCCCCGGACATATTAAGGGGCATATTGATCCAAGCAACCGGTCGTTCCCGCCGCTCATGGACAGTAGAGAAAACGGAACTACTGGTGCGAACAGAAAAGACAGTTGCTATCATCTGGGACGTAGCGGGGCTTATCATCTCCGTTTTTTTAGTTTCAATGTCAGTCTCTGAACCAACCGAAGTCGGTTCCACAGTTAGCCCTCTTAGATCTGTCATTTCTTGCATCAGATTAGGTACATCATTTACCGGTGCTTCCACCTCTTGTTTAATCAGGGCGATGGTGGCTCCTGTCGTTAGTAACGATCAGGGTGGAAAAACAGAAACGTTCAAATACTGTTCCATTTGCTGATAACGCGTTCATAAGGAAAGAGCTCCCTCGTACAAGGTGCGAGGGGGTTCCAAATCATCAGCCAGATCGGAAACTTGTAATATGGGTTCCCCAAGAAGGACTGGAGGACTAACCTGGGTTGTTAGAGGAGTGAATGCACTGTCTTCAGAATCCACGTGGAAGCTTTGAGTGGTGTCGGGGTACACTCGAAATTCTTCGGGGGCTTCATGTTCGAAAAGTTCAACCAGATGCTTCCATTCCTCTTTACTTGGCATCTCTTCTTCGTATTCTCGTTCCCTGATTCCATCCTTGAGGCGTGAGGGGGAGCACTCCTCGGGATCAATGCATCGAATTATCCCTATTTGGCCCGGGCTAAGGATCCGCTTTATCGTTCGGGTGGAAACTCGCAAAAGAACAGTTTGAGGTTTCCCCCCGGTTTGTGTGAGTACCAGTTGTCTCAAATCGAAATGCAGACGTGCGCCCACCGCCATTGCCCAAGGTAATCCCAACAACACAGAGTAGGAACGTACATCTATTACGAGTGCGGACACAAGGACGTGTACTCGCCCGACCTTTACCGCCACGTTCTCGATAATGCCTACAATGTTCATTGTTTCCTCATCAGCAGAGACATAGTTGTCTTTGCCAGATTGAGGAAGAATGGATCCAAGTCGTCCCGTTTTTTTAACAGTCTCCAATGATATGGTCACTGCAAAAGACCATGAGTCGATTAGGGCATTAAACGGTTTACCTCAAACTTCACAGTCACATTCCGCACTTTTTCATAGTACTCGCCGAGCTCGTACGAAGTGATCATTTTCTGCTAAAGAGATCGCTGCTATTCGTGCGGCTTCGGGTTCTTTCGTGTCAGGCTCAGGAGGTGCAATCTACTCGTTTCCTTCCTTCTTCTTCAACATCCATTGTATGCGCTGATAGGTGAAGCGCTTTTGATTTTTCTCGCAATGTTGTAGAAGTTTATCGTTCGCTGCTTCAGATATGGTGAGCAGATGTCCTACTGGGATAGGTACACGAATATCTAATTGCTTGAGCGTTTTCAATACATCAGTATCTCGTGTCCGAAACTGTGGTCCAGGATTAGACTCGCAACCAACCCACTCGAGATCATCTTGGGACGATCGGATTGCTCCGATCATTCCGGCAAGATGAAGATACTCGAGGGGATCGACCACGTCAGCAACGTCAGAGGAAGAAGCTCCCGAGGTCGACGCTATTATCGCCGAAGAGGAAGGCTGTTCTGGAGCATACGCTACGAGCTCTCCTCCCTGGTCCGTGTCCATCAGAGCGGTCACTCGTCCTTGATTAAGGGCGACAGGGGCCGCAGCAGGGGGAGGCTGATTACGTTTCGGTTGCGGACAGTCTCGGGCAAAATGCCCGAGCTGTTTGCAGTTGAAACACTCGATCTTTCCTGCCGGATTAGCTAGATGGGGATACTAAGGGGCGAATCCAAGAGCAGGCGGAGCAGGTAAGAGCAGAAACGATGCAGGGGCAGGCCGAGCAGGAGCTGGATTAGGCTTAATGAGCCTGCTCATTATTTGTTCCATTCGTTCCATATGAGCGGCCTGCATTTGGATCAGGTTGCCCATCCATTCGGACTGCTTAGTAGTAGCCGTGTGGATCATCTCGCAAGGTGTAGATTGGTTACGGCCGACGAGGGGGGTTCAAATGAAGTTCCGCTTCTAACGGCTGCGATCAATTGATTCACCGGGGGAGAGGGAGGAGAAGCAGTCGGGATATCGGAAACGATCCCGCCGGGAAGTTCATGGTCGGGGCAGGGATAAAACCGTTCGACCGCCTATAGCCATGATTGCCTTTTGGTCGTTACATCCCGTAGGGTATCTGTAATATCCTTGTCTCCCTGGCTGATATATTTTTTTGTATCAGCCAAGTCTAGCTCCAACGCTTTAGTGATGATAGCCGATAACTAGTGCGTTTTCGGCGGAACCTTTTTCTGCAATTTTCCTTTCAGTGTCGGACTTCGTAGGTGATCGATAAACAAATCTCGAGCGGATTTCTCATCCCACACGGATTTGTCCAACGTGGTTTGAAAATGATCGACGAAATCGGGCAACAACTCCCCTGGTCCTTGGGGTCGATTTTTTAGCACGTACCAGGCGACATCTTCACTGACTGTATCGAATCGAGCCAAAAAGGTTGTCTTCAAAGTAGCCCAAGAAGGGGAAGAGGGACGGGATGCTAACGATCACCCTAGTACCGTCCACCTTTGGTATTGCTGGTGCAGCCACACTAGACTGAGACCGGGTTACGTGGCGATCCCGATGAGTTAGTTGAGGGTCTCTCCTACCTCTCGCCAGTTCGACTTACTATTATCAAAACCGACACGTGTCGGCTCCGATATCAACCTCACGCCTTGTGCTGTCTTCCGTTCGGAGTGTTAGGCAGGCACAAGGAGGCCCAGAAAAACAGCAAGATTGGGGTGTGCCAAGGATTTTTGGAAATTGAGTGTGGGGACACATATGGAACTGAAATCCCCCGTGTAGGTCCGATGTAGCAAGTTGATTAATTTCGCGCATCGCGGAATGCGCGCCCGGTCATGGCGCGAAAACAGAAAGATCCAAATTCAATCCAAGAAGTACTATCGTGCCTCCCACCGGGCTACAGCCCGTCATTTAGAACAGAAAGGCTTGGGCACGCTTCGCATGTCCCGTTTTCGTATCAAGTCTCGTCGTTGTTCGCTGGTTAGTTCCGAGTCTGACGTGGAGGGTCTCAGTCGCGTGGCTCTTTCTTTATGCTCGTCTTCACTCCGCACACGGTAGTGGAAACCCCTGGACTCAGTGCACAGAGTGCGCGACCAGTGGGGTTCTACTGCCGTCCACGAAATGACGATCAACTTTTTAAATGGCAACAATACCGAGTAAGGTGGGAAGTGCGTATCGATAATAACAAACCCGGCTTCTACGAACCCAAAACAGCTGTTGGCCGGAGGGAAGTAATACTGCCCGCCGATTTGTGCAACGGCTTCTCGTACGTCCCACTCACATACACGTGTCCTTTCCTCACTGTAAGGAAAAGGTCGCGTTGGGATGGGAGATACGGGAGGCTGGCGCCCAATCGAAGGGTACTTGTCAGTCCACATGTCAATCAATCACAAAATTTCCTGAGACGTCATTTAGAACAAAAGCGATTCGCGCGTCCCTCAATCAATCTTTTTTGACACAAGAGAGAGAGAGAGAGAGAGAGAGAGAGAGAGAGAGAGAGAGCAAACACAGATCAGCTTGATCACGCATATGGCTACGGGTCCGATCAGTTCAACACAACATTGGTCCTCGGGTGCCTTGTTTCTCAGGGCCGCCTCGTGGCTCGGCTACTGATGTCGTGCAGCATAAGGCAGATGGCATGCGCAGTGCAAACAAAGCTATAGATCTAAACACTCTTGCATTCTCGAACAAAATCCCGACGA